CCCAAAGTTCTAAACAAATGTCCGTAGATCATACAAATATTTGGTCCGGCTCGGTCATCGAACCCAAGACCGCAGCACAGCAGTCGCGTACGCTACTACTGCACCACCGAGGCGGTCACAATGCAATGATTAATGGCAATGGTTACCTATATATATCTTTTTCGACGTTTGATGGGCTTTGCTTCAATCATGCCGATCCATCAGCATTCATTATATTCCATCTTTCCTTGTTCACATGAAGCAACTTCTTTCTTGACGTTTGTTGTAACATCTGAAATCGTTGGAGCCTCGGAACAACTGATAAAGAATGCGGTTTAAATTGACTTTTCCTTTAAGAAAAACTTCCAATTAATGCATTTTATTGGCATGTTCCGTAAATGGTAAAAGACTAGTTACCTCCTACGTGTTGCCCTATTATGGGTTTCCAAGAACGTATGCATGTATTTGGTTCTCTTACTTTTACTGCACGAATGGCGTAGTGGTTTAAGCGGTCGCCACGCCGCTTTCTACTGCGCCGTGTGTTGTGGGTTCAAACCCCACATGGGACGACACTTTGTGTGATCCACAAATTGTTGTTCTGAGTCTGGGTGTTCTTTGTGTCCGTTTCATGTATGTTTGTAAAGTCCCCCGCGACACAGGATTTATTCCTAATGCGGGAGTTGTCTTTTTTAAAAGAAGAAAGAAAACAAAGAAGAAAGTAGAAAGAAACTCACGTTCGTTACTTAGGTCCTAGATAATTTTATATGTTCTTGGTTTTCTATCTCAACTTCACTAAACATATTCACCAAAAAGAAAGTTATGATTAATAGAGGCGAAGTTTAAGTTTAAGATTTAATTTGCATTTGCTCAGCTCGTGTCATCAGGCATTCAACAGGAGTTACACCTAAATACCTTTACCATAGCCTTAAATTAATAAATTTAAATGAATCCGTGTATTTAAACCTACAGAAAGCAGCAATATTAAACACATGCGAAACAGTAAGAAGGTTCATGGATATTGAAGAAAACGGAACAGAACACACACACCAACCACCATCTACATCTCCATAACCAAAACACAAACCTTACTGTATTTACTTGGTTTTGGCCCGTAAATACAGTTAAAGCCAGTCTTGAGCTGAAAAAAAATAATGATAATAAAAAAAGAAATTAAATATTTGGATTTATCTCCCGAGATTGTTGATATGTGTTATTCATAAGTTCTTCTGTATCAACTGCATGTTGTAAGGAACTGTGTCATTTGCTTGAGGGACTGATATTGAAAAGCCATTTGGGTATACATACTTTACGGCAAAGGTTATTTATTTTTAGCTTTTGGGCCGAGTTCAGCTTGCCTTCAGATGCTATAGAACAAAATTCGTTTAAGCACTGCTCAATAGACTCCCTATATCTCCGAGGTTGGCACTATTTCTATGTTTTCAGAGGGCTCTGGGGGTTTGAGGAGTCGTAAGTGGAGGAGTACGGTGCGTTATGCTGCTCCTATTAAAAGGGCTGCTACTCATTGTCATTTAGGCACGCTATTGTTGATGTACATTGCCTTTGTACAAAGTAATGATCACTTAACAATAATGTGCTTACATATGTAAGACACACTAAAACTAAGTCAATATTTTATATACTTAAATGTAAATTTACAATTTGTTATTATTGCACGTCTGTCCTCGATGACGAATAAAATATTTTGATATTATTGATATTATTTGTATAGATAGTGTAGTATAGTAGTTAAATATACAAATAATTGTATATTTTACGAGGTTCTATATGTGTAAGTTATAAGTGCTTTTTTTCAAAACATCTCCAACTCCAACTGCTGGCACATTTTAATTATATATAGTTACTTATCCTTTTTATTTTCAATGTAAGAATGTATAGTGTATTTTTTTACTTTTTAAATACTGGTATTATAAACTTAATAAGGCGGCCATCTGTAAATGCGTCTGTATACTTATACTAACGTTTGTGTCAAATCTTTTTACAAAGACGGAAAAAAACTTGTAAAGGTTTTTCTTGAAGAGTTCTAGAAGTTGTCACCGACGTGCCTCTCTCATCAGGACATTTCCATAAAGAAGCCTTATAAAATTTTGTTTTAACATTAACAAATCTAAAAGTTTGTACTTGGACGGGTCTCTGGACCTTTGTTTCTGTCTACAAAAAGTTTTCGCTTTCGTAATTTTTGTTTAGCATTAGGGTGGGTTTTCAAGAAATTTATTTTGAATTTTATTGGACTAAGTTAGTAATGAGCAAAATTTATCGTTTGATTTATAAAGAAAGGGGCGAAATCCATTCTTAAGGTCTTCCTTAAGGTCTCCATTCTTCTTCTTAAGGTTAGTCTAATTCTCAGTTACTTAACGTAACTGAGAATTAGACTAACCTTAAATATATATTTAGGTAAATTAAATATATCTTACTGTATTTCAATAGTCTTATTTCCGCACTTATGTGTATAAAGTTATCGAAGACTGCCAATAATTTTTATTTACAGGTAACATTAAAAATTACTAGTGGAGAAAAGTGCACGCAACGCTTTCTTATGCATCCTATTTTTTCTAATGATGTCTTTATGGAGCAAAGTAGGTTAGTAAGTTAATTAATGACGCTTCTATAGACGGTTGTAATATACAGTTTAAGAGTACGGTTTTAAGACAATGTAAATGTTATCTTGTTCTCCACATTATATATGAAATAAACATTACCTACGAAAATAAACTTTGTGGCTCCTTACTTAGACTTGTGGATATAAGCAATCTAATATTCAGGGACTTTATACTAGTATGTTTTTTTATAAGAAAACATGTCACAGGAAAACACCCAAGATATATAGCGATTAGGACTACAGCTCCCGAAGCTCGTATATTACAACCAAAATAGGTAAGGACAGAAAATTCTCTCTTCTCGACACAGCCTTAGTGCCAACATAATTCAATGTTACGCAACTCGTTTCGGTAGTAAACCAGCCCGGCATTACGACATGAGGTCCAATCTACACAAATTGTTAGTACAAACACCATCTAATCTGATACTTAGACGTGTTTGGAAGAAAAATCACAACTTTCCCCAAATACACATGATTTACAAACAAGTTAAGAGAAGCATGATCACCCACTTAGACAAGTTTTCTTATATGATAAGTAAATAATGGAAGTTTATTAAACGTTACACGAAAGCCTGAATGCGTCTTCTTCTTCGGATTAAGTACTTTCTAACTAGTTGTTGACGTTTTAGATTAGATTGATATCACCTGTTTTTCGATATTAAATGTCTATGGGGGATATCATGAGCGTAAGGCCATGTCTTACGTCCTAATGCAAAATAGAACAACGCTCTCTAATGACGTCATGCCAACTCTCTGCTCCGTTGTGTATTCGTAACGAGTGTGCACGGTATTGTTTGTGTTCCGAATTCAGTCGTAATTACTAACAATTTCAATTTCAGATCTCTTATAAATAACAAAATCGATTCCGAGTCAATTTTTTAAATTGTGTTTAATATTGTGTGTTGAACTGGCAATGTACAGTAAGGCACTGCTCTAATTCGTTCCTGGAGTTCCTTCCTCCTTCCTTGGTATCAGTGGTAATTCAAGCTGCAAAATTGTCAAAAGTGTTGTGTTATTGCCATAATAAAAGTTTTTTCTTTCTTTCTTTCAAATTTATAGCAAACATGATTGAAAATACAGGTCAATAAGTCATAAGTAGGTAACTTGGTAATGGATCCGTTGGTACTACTATGTTCATTCATTATTTTTTGTCGTAAAATGGAACGTATTCTTTCATATTCTGTAATGAAACATATCATCGTTTACTCCATTATACCGTACATGTCAGCAGCTGTCTCATTACCGAGTCGGGCACGTCCCTAACAAGACGCGTGACAGACGTGGCGCCTTAAATATTGAGCTATTTATTCACCTTCGAGTACTTGAATATAGTACGGTATAGTCCGAGACCACGTATCAATATTATCCTGATAGATATATCAAGTAAAAAAAAAATTATAGTTTTAAAAAACTAAAAAACAGGCTTTCTATAGAAAACGAAACTAAAAAATAAAACAAAAGAAAAAAAAGCGTTGGGTGCCTGTTGTCAATAGTAAAAAGCACCCCACGCTTTTTTTCAATTTTTTTTTTCTATTTTTACACGCTTTCTATAGAAAACAAAACTATGGTTTTCTATAGACAGCGTGTTTTTTAGTTTTTTTAAACTATATTTTTTTTTATTTTTTTTTTTAAATTAGTGTATTGTCATCGGTTCTCGATATATCTACAAAGTTTGAACGAATTCTGACCGTTTAAAGTCAGTCAAAATCACGCCCAAAGGAGTCGGTTACAAACATACAAACAAACATACAAGTAAAGCTAATATAAAGCGTGTAAAAAGAGTTAGGTTTGTAAAGTATTAGGCATACAAATTTTTCTAGGGTATGCCTGACAAAGTTTTTACATTATTTATAATTCTATGTTTGGCTGTATTTTTTATGATGTTTACCGATATTTATCAATGACCTAATTTTAAAAGTTGTATTTATTTGTATGAAAATATATGCTCCAATGCTGGTCCCTACCTAAAAAATTGTCTGAGGGTAAAAATAAAAAAACCATTATGGACGTGTACTTTGATTTTCATTCTTTTGTCTTACAGTGAAGCAATAGTAATTTATAATTATAGTCAAAGTAATTCAATAAATAAAATATGATGATGATGAATTCATAATTAACGATTTAAGAAAAACACAGACAAATGTAGCACCTCCTCGGTTCTTCGTTTGACTGTGTGTTTTTTTAAGTTTTCTTATTATTATTCACACTGCCTCCTCGTTTACTCTATATATCATAAAAAGATAAAGTACAGCAAATATCTAGAAAAACTCAAAATCTTACAACCTTATCTAAATAAAGTATCGGGTTCATCTATAAATTTCAATCTTAATCACACATTAATTTCATTTTCGAATTCGGATATACGCGATCACGTAGATAATAAGTATTCAATTATAGACTTCAAATGGATGAAAAGGTACCTAGTGCTTTAAAATGTAAAATTATTATTGTTAGAGCCTTGAGAGCCGCTCTTTATGTCATTAAAATGAAATTGTCAGCTACCAGCACCGTTTTAGGCATAATATGTACTATAGGTTTTTCTTTTTATTTTGAATGCCAAGATGCTAGTAACTAATTATCATATTAGTGATTTATTCTGATACATTTTAAATGTCCGTCCATCCTCCGTCTACTAATAGGATTATAAATGCGAAAGTAACCCTGTCTTTCTGTCTGTTAGGCTTTCACGGCTGTACCGCTAAACCGATTTTGACGAAATTTGGCATGTAGATAGGACAGGAGGCAGGAGAAGAAGAAGGACATTTTACGATAATCGGCATACACGTGCGTGGAGCCACGGGCAAAAGCTATTTTTTTATAGTATTTAGTTTGTATTCAATGGACTTTATTGAAGGCTATTAAAAAATTATTCGAGATACACACAAAATACCACTAGATTCATATAATTAGTGCTTTACGCAAGTACTTACACAAATATTGTATGCTTCACTCGTAAAATACGTGACCAATCAGCACACAGTCTTACGTCAGTAGCCTCAGTCGCATTTCTTTTATGAGCACGTCAAAGTTCAAATACTCATGTTGAATTTTGATATAGGCCGAGCAATTTATCATTGTTTGAATGACGTCTTAATTAGCCTGTCCTTACCTTGTGTTTGTGTCGTGACCCAATTTAAAATATAACGTCTTACAAATATGTGACAAAATTGGCAATGAGTTTTTTTTAAATAAAGCGTACTTTTGTAACGGTGCCCTTGGTCACACATTATGTCAATATAAGCTTGAATTATTGTTGAAGATATATAAATATTTTCATACAATACCATTGCCATATAACTATAATAAAGGTTTGCCTTTGTGACGAAAGAGCGATAAGAAAATACTGTACTGTCTAGTTTTTGTACTAGACAGTATAGTATTTTCTTATCGCTTTTTCGTCCTTTAACAAGCTTAAGATTAAAAGAAAATGGTTTTTACGCTTTATTATTCCTATAATTTAATTAAAGTCAATATATAAGAATTAAATACGGTCAAATGTGAACCTGTAGACGATCAAAAGTAACTTCAAATGCTGTTTTACAGAAGTTTGTAAGTACGATCAGACTTCTTTCTTTTAATTTACACGTTTTTGTTTAGTACATATACATAGAGGGTGTAATGCTGTGCTACTCCGTTCTATTCACTCGAGTCTAACAAACAATTAATTTTATATCGTCGAGTGTGCTCTGGAAAACATAGGTTAATGTAGTGCCATTTAGGGCGATGTTTTGTTTTGCCATAAATTACAATTACATCAAATGTTCAAGCTTAGAGTTTGTTCTAATGATATACTATGAACATAAGTTAAGCTTTAGTCTAAAACTAAGTGTCTAAGAAGTCGTGATAAACTCTTCTTACAACCATAGCTAATGTTTTTTCTATTGTTGCCATCAGGATGAAGCGAAAGAACTACCGGTCGTTCCCAAATGCTGTCCAAGTGGTCAGAATCTCACCATCGTGATGGAGGAAAGTGGAAACCATAAGACAGTTTGTGCTCGATCTACCCTGACGTTTCAACCAGTATTCCATCAAGCCAACGAAACCCACATCTTCAGTTATGACAGCAATGTGTACGAGACCATCGTTGGCAGCCCCTGTCGATACGATAAGTAAATAAAGTATATAATCTAAATCAAAACATTAAAGTCAATTGTCAATAAAGACTAATTAGATTTATTTTGTCCCATTTCTTCTGTATAATTCATCATTGTAAGATAAGGATCTGTGTATGTGGTTCTTTCGTATATGCGTCGTCCTTATTACTTCTTATAAGTGTACTTTCCTTAGGCATGTGTTAACTTCACGTGAGCTTTTTTTTAACGCGACTTTAATGCTCCTAAATGTGGCCAGTGCAAAACAACAGTTTTTGAAATTGTTCAGTGACTCTTTATAAGTACCTGGAACTATGAATCCTACAAGAAGAATCTCGGCACTTGCAGCGTAAACGTTTCTTGCAATCTGCCTTGAAATAGCTAGTAGCTAATAGAAAATCATGTAAAAATATTACAACTTGAAAAGAAAAAAAAGGAATAAGTTGTTTTGTGTAAATAATCAAGAATATACATGAAAGTATTGTACATAAGTTGGTTATCTAATGTAACATTTTGTAATGATGAAATTAGGAATTCCTTTCTACTGAAATCAATATTCTAGGAAATATTAGGAAACCACTATTTTAGAGAAACTCCTGATTAACTGTCACTTAATACCATAAGTAATAGTCAACTAAGAATGTCCTATGTTATGGTAGCATATACACAATATTAAAATTATACAAATGAATTAATCTTTAAGTCTATTACGATTCGGCTGAATTTTTTTACGAGGAGCGACAGCCATAGACCTCCGCAACCCAAGTACTAAGCGATATCGACTTCTGAAGAAAGACTGTTGGACTTTTAAACTCGCCAACTACCAGTACCGATTGCCACAGATCTTCGTGTGGCAATCGGGATCGACGGTTAAACGTGCTCTTCGAGGCGAGTACCGTACGGATCTAATATAAAAAATTGTTCACAGGTATAAAATGGATCCTGATCAAAATAGTAAAGACGAGTTCTATCTCTTAGTCAACGGTTCGCTTTTCATTCCGTACGCTAAGCCCTTTCTGCTGGGGACTCGGGACTACTGCATGGAGACATTCTGGAACGAATCGGTCCCAGCTGGTATTACGTTACCAGTTGTGTGCTTTACTACTCCGCCGGAAGAGACTAAAACGTCGGCGACGCTTATTGTTTATGCAACAGGTTCGTAGTCTACAGCTTTATATTTTCCATTAAAGGTTTGTCTTGAAAATTTAAAACTACTAAGACCATAGTTTTTACTAAATCATAAATGTTGTAAGTAGTCAAGGTTCTTCATGGTAAAATGCTGTTTTCAATTTTTGTAACACCGACAAATAGTTCGAATTACAGTAAAATATTATACAATTAATACTTACAAAAGAAGTTTCTACGTCAATAGTCATTAATACTGGAGAGAACTAATGAAAAGGATTTAATTAAATTATAATATTTTCTTTCCCTTTTTGACACTTTTCTGTGGCAACATGGAGACATACGTTATACTAGACTAGATGTATCACAAGATTGTCCTATACAATTTAAAAAATCTTTGCCTAACTAGAATCCTACGTTCATTCTAGAACTAACCATTACAACGTATCATGTTATAAATTTGATACACTCGGGGTACAAATGAATAGAAATGTTTTTCAAGATGTAAACTATACTGTTTTGTTTAGTAAACAATTAGTTTTTAGCTTAGTTTTATATTACTATACATATATTCACTTATTGGATGCAAATCATTCATCAAACGTATAGAAGTAAGGTTAAATATTCCTTTAAGTAACTATATATGTATATTATAATATAATAATAATTTAAACAATATCTAACATGTAGTTATGTATTTTGTTTTTATATTTAATCATTATTGTCATATTGAAGGACCATCGCCTTACTCAAATCTGCGCATTTATTATTTATATGCAAACCTAACATTATTTCTGTGTACGTTACGATATTTAAGTATTGTTTCATGAATAATAAATCTATCACGTAACATTCGGAAATGGGGCTGTATGCCGTCTATGTTGACTTATGTGGGAGTAGATTCAGCAGCTGGTTTTTGGTAAAATTAAATAGTAACAGGGTTCGTGACTAATTACATAAGTCCACTTTTTGTTGCCAAGTTGTTGCCTCGCAACAAATTGTTTGCTTCATAATGACAGTCTAGTTACATAAGAAAGCATAACTATTTGATCGTTATTCTAGTTTTCAAAATGAGCTTCTTGGACTTACTGCGTTAGAGAAGTTATGTCGGGAAATATTTTATTGTTCCCATTTATTTTTATTATTTCAGATTTGTACGAGTCACTAAGTGGGGCAATGTTGTATATGTCCTTGCTTTTTATAGCTTTTTCTTTTACTTTATCACATGTCCTACATTATATTGTATGTGAATGATCTAGTGCTAAGTTACTGGTGTTTTGTTGTTCTTCTACATTTGTCCCATCTCAACTTGAAAAAGTTTACACGTTTAGTTGTTTTACTACAGTATCGTGTAAGGGTTTATTTGATTTAATAGGAGTTATACCAGTTTTATTGTCTGATAGTAAATAATAGATCCTTACTTTCATGTGAAATTTGGGATTAATATGTAATAACTTTGGCCAATAAACCTAGTTCGAGTTTTATCTTAACTGAATAGTTTTTAAGTTTGTTATGTACGTAAGGTTATATGGAACTTAGTGTTTTGAAAATTGCTTTAGTTTTTAAGACTAGTTTCACAGCAAATTTATGCTTTCTGTTTTACTGTTATGATTCTGCTTTCCAAATTCTAACTTTACATGTTATCATTAAAGTATTGTTTTAATTTTCAGGTTTACTTATATCAGTGCCGTTTTTGCTAGCGACGGCATGTGTTTATTTATTTATTACGGAGCTCCGCGACACTCATGGCAAAGCACTTGCCTGCCACACTCTGTGTTTGGCCGTAGCCTTCACGTGTTTAGCCACTACACAACTAGCGGGACACGCCTTTCCTGTTGTGGCGTGCACTGTTATGGGTAAGCAATGAAAATTACAGTGTTGTTGTACTTATAAAGTACATTTTAAGGGTTTAATAATAATATTTGGAATAATTCGTCTCCTCTTGTATGTGTTGTGTCATATTAATTTTTAAACACTCCAGTTGTCTCACACATTAGATTACTTAAAATTAGCATCACTTGAGCAATTGAGTTAATTTAAGTTAAACTTATAATGTGTTACATGAGCAAAAATAAATAAATCAATTAATTAATAATAATAATGATAAAGTCAATTATTTACATGTTAAAGGTTACATAGTAATACATTAATATTATACATTATATTTCAGCGTATCTCATCCAGTTTTCATTCGTATCCTGCTTTTTTTGGATGAACGTGATTTGTTTCGATATATTTTTAAATGTTCGGTAAGTGATATTATTTTATTTAAATTTAGAAATATACGTCCAGCAGTGGACTGCGATATGCTGATGATGATGATGATAGTTTTAATATAAACTTGTTGATATAAATGACTTTTGAGTTTAGAACTATAAATTATATTATAATTAAATACGGCTTTATTCACCTCTCTACTCAAAGACGATATAATATAATTGAGCCACACTTAAGTGTTCCATGAAATTTATGAAGTATTTTTTTTCTTGTCACGTGCAGGAGGTACATAAACTCGCCAGTGTCAAGACGCAGTATGCGACGAAGGTTTGCGTGGTATTGCGTGTACGCAATTTTATTGCCCATACTTTTGCTAGTGATCACCATTACCATGGAGCTATCGCCAGCGGTGCCTAGCACATTTTTAAAGCCTAATTTTGGTGTTAAGGGGTGCTGGTTTAAAAGTAAGTTACAGTTACAATATTACTGGTACTTTGTCTACTATATCACTTCTACTAAATTATGACCGAAACAAAAATATTAATAGCAACTTAACTACCAAATATGTTTAGGTTTAAAGAATTTATGTTTAAAAAGACAATTTTCACTCACTTGAGAATATTGGATAACATAGTGTATAAAATGAGAGAGGAGATTTTAATGAAATTATGTGATACCGTAAAGGACGAAATTCTTATGATTTGTTTTCACTATAGTATATATAAAATTAATTAGGGAACGTAGCCTGATACAAGTAAAATCAGAAGAAATACACGTTGGCCTTTGACGAGAATCATTAGTTTCTAAGTCATGAAAACAATAACTGAATTACTTAATTTTTTTTTATTATTTAATAACGACGAAGGCCAATTTTTTTGAAAAGAACTTAACTTTAAAAATTATATTTTCTGAAATCAAGATCTCTTTAACAACCTTAAAAAAAGGTCGGCATTCAGCGTCACTAGAGTTAAAAAGGCAACTTATTTCACTTTCAATATTTCGTCTCTTTATTTAACTAAAGTTCGTTAAGAAAATTGAGTTACCATTTATTGTAAGAGATAAATCTACTAAAAAAATAAAATAATTTTGAAATTGAATATACAAAAGGAATAGTGTTTTCATTTTTTTTAAATTCTATATATTTTTTAAACATTTTAGATATGTATTTAGATTATGTATTTAGGATAATTTCATGAATTTAAATATTTTTACCATAAATTGTTTTGCAGCGGATCAAGCGGCTTTACCATATTTCTACGGGCCGGTGGCACTGATCCTTTGCAGCAACCTTGTCATATTTATTCTCACCTCAAGAGCCTTTGCCGTGCACTACAGTAAGCTAAAAGATGTCACCCGTAAGTTTGTAGATAATAAATTGGATGTTTTATTGTGAATGGTGGTGGTGTGATGGATGTAGTTTTGAACATTAGGTCAACCTCAAACATGATTAAAAATGGGATTAAATGCAATTGGTAATGGGTTCTGATTCAGTCGGGGTCGGTCTGGGGTAATGATTCTGACTGCTAAGTTCGGGTAGTGGGTACAATTTTCAGTACAAATAATTGTGAGGTCGGTCATTTGTTTTGTGTTTGTATCAGTATTATTACTCGTATTTGTAATATAAGTCATAGTCAAGTAACTAATACTACTTCAAAATGCACTTTTGTTAAAAATATTATAAATGAGGATGGTAAATGTTTTTCCTCTCATTTTTCTTTGTTCCGTGTGGCGACGGATTAAGAATACAGAGAGCCACCACTCCTATTCATAGCGTGGGTGTCGCAAGAGGCGACTGAGGGTAAACTAGGCAGGACAACAACACTGCAAAGAGAAGGAAAGCAAACCCTACCAACCCGTCTGGGTCGTATATTAGACCAAAACTTCCTTTGTAAAGAGAAGCATATGTTCAACAGTGGATTACTAAAGGTTGATGACGAAATGTTCTATATAGTTCACTGCTCAAACTATTGGCTTCGAGAAACCTCTAGATCTTTTGACCAATTGGTCATTTGTATTTTCTGCAGATGCATGAGGACCATAGGTTAATATACTTCGGTACCAAATTAGTGGGTCTCAAGATTATAGAATCTACACTTAAGTATCTTCTGCTTTTAACAGACTGCCCTGTTGTACTTTCACACAACCATAGGTTAGAAAACAACTTTGTTCAGATTTCTGTGTCTGGTAAGGATCTGTGTTACTGAATAGATTTTGAGGTTCAAAAGCTTAACGATACTTTAGTTTTTTAAATATAAAGACTATTAATAATACCAAATATATTAAACGTATTTACCGGTTTGGCTAAAACTACGTTTAATAAAAATTCTTCATAGGCGAACTGGACATTAATTTATTAACATAAACTGGCAAATCGTTAATATTTTTGCTATTATACAAATTGCCTTACGTGAGTTTCTTTACAGCTTTAAACATGGTCGTAAATCCCTTGAATAAAACATATTTTATGAGTCATTGTTACTATAATCAATCGTTTGAACAATGAAAGACGACACTCGGTAAACGGGGATTGTGCACGTAGTTTGTTTTGCCATAATGCTTTCTTAGCGATGCCTTCTAGGATAATTTTATTTTAAAGACTTAAAAAAAAAGAAAAAAAAAGAATCATGACTTTGATTGTAAGATTAAAATAAAACACGTCTGTTTAAAATATACTTAATTTATGGGAAGAAATTAACGTCTAAGATACAGGCTTGGCCTAGTTTAGATGTTAGGGATCGTGAATTATTATAAGCATCTTATTAATTAGTATATTATAACCTATAGTTATATGTTAAGAAATCGTTTGAAAATAGTATTTTGTATCAAATACTTAAATCATTTGGGTGTTTTGCCGTATAAAATTTATGAATTTCGTAGAGTCAACGAATATTGTTTATTTATCACGTTTTGGGCATTGTTATTTCTAATATTTGAATGAACCTAAAATCATATTATTATATGAGCGGAACAGCAGTACATGATTACCTATAATATAATAAAAGCAAATATAGAGATCATTTACTATAGAGTATGATTAAAATTTCATTTAACAGCTAACAAGTATTTTAATTTAACTTAATGTAATAAATAATTATTATTAATAGATATCTACTTTTTTTATCTTTATATTACGTAATTGTGAAGGTATATTTGGCTTTACCATTCGCCTATTTTCCATTGTACAAAAAGAACTTGTTTAATTTTATTTGGGATGGAAATATACTATATTAAAAAGGTTATGAACATGGGAAAATCAGTACGTGCCACAGAAGGTTGAATCTTAGATAAGCGAGAAGTGAGGATTTTACATTCCTATTCCCTTCATTTCTTCTTTCCCTACAGTGCCAAATCACTCACTGTTTCGGTTCCCTTTTACGATCTTACAATATAGAACAACCATTTCTGTTTAACAGCATTAGATCTGATGCATTCAGACTTCAGTACGTCCGACGACTGGGTGCGCCTGAGTACAGTGCTGGGTCAACCGGTACCTGTATCAGAGCAGACATCGTCGCCCCCTAGGGACGAACCTGTTAAAGTCAATCCAAGGCTAAAGAAGTATAAGAAGCTGTAAGTAATGTACCAAATTCTTATTAAAATAATATTTATACCTTAAATAAATGCTGACGTTCACGTATTTTGTTCACAGATTTCGTATGTGTTGTCTCCTATCCGTCATTATGGGTCTTTCCTGGGTGCTTGAAGTAGTGTCATGGGCAGTTGGAGCTGGTGATTCAGCAGTCTCAGTATGGTCAGTGTTTGACCTGATCAACGCGCTGCAAGGAGTCTTCATTTTCGCCATATTTGTTTGTCAACAACCCGTCCGTTCTCTTGTTAAGGTATTGTTTTAATAATATACTCGTAAATGTATTATCTAAGAAAGTCTATAACCAGTATAGTAGAATTTTCAAATTTTAAAATGATATTAGATAAAATTTCGGTTTAAATTAAAAAAGTTTTACTTTGCATTTTCAAGCAAGGAATTTTACGTTTGGAAGATATTTCATCTTTAATTTCTTTTCTACAGTCCTCACACATGTTCTCTACGTGTAAAAGAAAAACCAATGGATCGGAAGTGTCTGTTGTGAGCGACAGAAATGTTATTTTACGGGCTGGTAGAAGAGACTATGTTTAGTGCAGTGTGAGTATGACTATAGGTGACTAACATGTTCATGAAGAAATCATTGGAAGTAACTGCTCGAGACTGATAAAGGTAAAAGTATTAATCATTTGTTGTGAGTGGCTCAAGACGAAATGTTTTTGGTTGTTTGTATCAAAAGTGTTCAATTTCTACTGGATATTAATTTATAATAATATATTTCATTAACATTCATTTGCTGATACTGAGGTATAATCTCACTGAGGTAATAAACTTTGGGTCTTGTATCAAATTCTAGGATTTTCAATTACAAGTACATATTTAATTCGAGCCACTCTAAGTAATCAATTTTCAGAGCAATATCAGAAAACTGAATGTGTATTTAATTCATTCATACTTTCATTCCTGTGATAGCAGATAGATTCTTTATAAAATTATTAATTAAGCAAAGATTATTTTTGCTTGTATCTTATTTTTATTCCAATTCAATATTTTGTCGAGATATATTTTATTTTAAGATTATAAGTTACCGATAGTGAGGCTGGTTATTGTCTACAGTTAGTCTACAAATTGTTAAGTTTGTTTTTAGCACTTCTGTTGTATTGTTTTTCTTTGGTAGAGTGAGTTTATTCGAAATATATTTATTTTTACATTAGACGATATGACTTGGGCACGCCATTTTTTTATAATTGGCAGTTAAGAATTATAAATTTGGCCTACTTCAAAGTTAAGAAAAGCCTGGTTTTATTATTTCTTCAAAAGTTTCCATTAATGGGCTAATGTAGGAACTTCAAAGCGATACTCAGTCCTTAAGTCGTTTTTATAAAGAATTCTGAAGCAAATAAAACTTTTCAGGACTAAAAGGACTTTTTGTATGTTCTACCGGTAGTAAGTATGCTCTGAAATAGTTGGAGATAATCCTGGCAATCAAATTTCGCATTTAAAGTCCAGGGGCAATAGCACCTAATCGTTTACCACCAGTGTAGTACTCTTTATAAACCCTCTTTAATATTTTAAACAAAATTGCATTACAAACTCTTAATTTTTTTTTTTGCCACTAATATATTAAATCTAAGTTTTTGTTCAAGTGTCATAATCGTTTAATGTAAGAGCTATAAATAAGTTAATACAACTTGTTCCAGCCTGCTTCTTAAGCGTACGGTTGTTAACACTTAGAATAAGAAAATTAAATATTTTTATAAGGTGCATGACCAAGTTAATGATTTTATCTTAGCAATAGCTGGTTAATATCAGCTACGGAACCTACATTCTTTATAGACAAGTAGTGCCATACTATAGAAAATAGTTAACTAAAATATGGTGCATTTCATTCCGTTGATGAGAGCTAGTCATAATTGTACATATATAAATGTATTAAGCGATAGGTTATTTAATTTATTTTTAAGTTAAAAATATTTTGGAATATTGTTTTTTTTAATTACACAAAGAGTACGTTATAATTCCACGGACGCACGTAAAAGTTTGTGAATAGCTGGCCATAGAATTGTAATCAACAAATTATCATATTGTATCAGTCAAGAATGATTGTGGTCTTTCATAAATTAAATTTTTTATTGAGTGATCACTTAAGGTGATCAATTTTGACATAGTCCTATTGAGCCCGAGATTCTATTAACTTAATCCTTTTATCTATCAACAGGTTTCAAATCTTCAATAATGTTGAGTTTGAGTGATATATAATTTAAATTGAAAAGTTTAATTAACATATGACTATCGTAAAAGTAAGAATGTTATTCATTTATTTGGTAATATTATACGCCAAATTGTATAGTTTTATATATTTTATATTTCTTAATGTTTGATAAAAAAGGAACATAAATATGCGCTGCTTCAAATCCTTTATTGGTGCAGGCACTACTCATCTAGCACCTCTCGTTTCTGATTACTTAGATTAGTGTATCCATTAGCCTCTTTGACGCTCCAATATTACAGCTTAATTCCTATTTGTAAATAGCTTTAAAGTACCAGCAAAATCAGCAATATCAAGATTAAAACGGCGACTGCCATCTTTTTTCGATGTCTACTGTTGTGTATGTTTTAGTATTACGTCTCTATTTTCGTACCCAAAAGATAGATATTGCTCTTGTACGATATTAGGACTTAGGACGAAAATGACTCTAAGATTTTAGAATTCCAAGTCCGCTTGTCCTATATAACAACAATCTAATTATACAGTACTTAGCATTAAAAATAAATGTAAACATTCTGTTTACATCGTATTCAGATCGCAGCATCAAGTTCATCAACAAGGTTTGCCATAAAAATATTATTTATTTTATCAAAAAAAAACTTATTTTGATATTGACTTCAATAAAATATAAGTAAACTTTGATTTATTTCTATACAAGTCAAGGTTCTGCAAGGGCCACGTAATGAAAAAAGAATAACTTAGAAAAAGACTTAGAAAATATTTACACCCAATCTTGTTTTCAACCTGTTTTATAAATAATAAAACTCATTCTGAGAAACTAACTTCCACATATAACTTCGTTATATCATCGGAACTAATTTGCATTATCGGTACTAAATTAAAATAATATTCTGGATAAGACTGGTCGTATGATTAATGTAACAGAAATACGTAAAAAGGTAATAAGATACTAACGTTTGAATAAGGACAGTTAATGTAAGGCTTCAAGGATTAATGGAGATATGTACAAAAGAATACGTATTCGGTAGGGACCAACGTTCCGTATCCTTTTCTCGGGCATCAAATCACGACATATTGAGGTGACGTTACCAATTGATTTTAGGACACAAAATAAGTAAAAATCTTAGAATTTTAAAATCCGAAAACCTTTTTGAAATTAAGATTTATTTGTGTAAAAAGAATGGCGATTCCATAGCAGAAAAATGTTCAAAAACCTTTTATATTCTTTATAATAAATTTTGTAAAGAGCCGATGGTATTGTCGAATATAGATAAAATTGGTGTATATGTTTTTGTAAGTTAAAATTAGTCGTATTTATTTTTTAAATGAAGTCACCAATTTAATGATGTGTGCCTCTAAATATTTGAATTTGGCTTTGGCTGACACAGATAAACTAACACTACCGAGTTGACAATCTATTAGGTCAATTCGTTTTTCTTTAAAAGTTGAGTTCTATTTGATTTTAACCAAGACTATGATACTAAAATGTAAAATATTGTAAAAATTAAAATTTTATATTTCTAAATGTCAATCATTTCTATACCTATAGAAATGAATGACAAGGAGATCCCATAATATTCTGTAACCTTTTGTGCTCTACAGAATACGTAGTTCAAAGACTCTTTGCTGTTTTTGCTGTTTTTGTTAGCTTTGAGAATTTTTCGTGTGGATAATCAACATTTAAGGACCCACGACAATAATTAGAGTTGTAATTTTAAGTATATTTTCTTTTCATAACCATCTGTTATGTTCGTTAATAAAAAAATGAATCTTTATTAACACTAAATTAATATAAATATGTAATTACTGTATAGTACCTAATGAGTTTGTATAAAGTGTATTTATCTTAATGAAAGCAAAAAATATATTTCGTGTACGTTACAAGGCGCCTCGAATCAGCAACTACCTACTTTAATGTACTAAAAAAGTACATTATACCTACAAAGTGAACATTAAATTACGTTAAGAAAAGTATGATTATGAAGATTTATTTATATTGTTTATGAGCTCTAGTGTAATGACGTAAATAATTCTAACGTATGCTAAATATATTTACTGCATAAAAGATAGCATGTATGAGTGTGTAACTATGTATTATATTAATTGTTAAATGTTGATGCGGAATTTTTAAGTGAAATGACAATTTAAAAGTGTATATTTGTCTATTTTGCAAACATGACGTTAATAAACAAGCTTTATATAAAATTTTACTCGCCTTTTATTTCCAGAACCCGTAGTAAATTTGTTATTTTTCCTTTAGAAGATTTATATAGGACTAAACATTAAAGTTATGTATATTTTAAAACAAGTGACTGGTGCCTATCATCATCTTAGCCGAAAACGTCCACTGCTGGCTATAGGCTTTTTTTTTCGTGTGGAAATCCCCTCGGGCCGTGACCCTACGGGGGTGGTGTGTCGGATTCGGACCGATTAAAACTGTGGTGTGCCACTCTGCGCCTGTAATGGGAGGGATCCGGAAACTGTTGTTATTAAGGCATCCGGACTCCTCCTAGCGCCTGCCTGCAAAAGCACAGGCACCACCTTTGGTAAAACTCTCTATATAGACGACGTACGGTACAGGCGGACGTCGCCTCCTCGTGGTAGATGGAAGGATAACCTATCCCGTTCACCCGCGGCCACATTCAGGGCGGCATGAGGCTCTCTGCGCCGCCTCCCTCTGCGAAATGACGTCTTCGCAGAAGGATGTGACCGCGGTAAAACATCTGTCGCTGCCGGCCATGGAGCGTTAGACGGCCGGCAGCGAGAGATCCTCTCCGATGACTGCAATGACTCACGATGCTGCGACGCCCAAGTCGGGCAAATTGCCAACGTGTGCTGAGCCGAATCGTCACTGCAATCGCAATGGTGACAGGCGGGACTCAATTCACAATCTCACTCCACAATCTCAATTCTCAATCCACAACTTGTTGTTCCGAGTCTGAGTGTTCTTTGTGTCCGTTGCATGTGTAAAGTGACCCGCGAAACAGGATATATTCTTGCAGCAGCAGTTGTCTTTTTAAAATAAAATCTATGAACGGAGAGACCACTACAAACGACATTAACTAATCAATGTTAACCTGGGTTGATTACTGCACCGTACATGTGTCTCTCTGTCTTATTGCTTCGCATAACCAAACTGTGGAACAAATTGTCACCTGTGATATTTCCGGACTGATACGATCTCTAAACATTCAAGAAATGATATTTCTCCCATCTCAAAACACAGCTACGCGCTTGTGACTGCTGAGTTGCCTTCGTTCATAAGTGGATAGTCAGTTTCCATCAAGTGCTTGTGCAATATGATGAATGAATATCGTTTGCTTCTATAAAAAACAAGCCATCATACAAAAACATGGAAATATAT